CAACCAATCAGAATGAAGTATTACGGATGACCATAAAAGCAATTACACTATGGCACTAAGCTTTCGGTTTTCTAAAAGCCTTTTTTAACCCAGTCTGTCTCCTGCAGCGCTCTATTTTAGGTGTGTCAGAATGTACTTGATACTGTTCTGTGTGTGTGTTCTAACCTCTAGCGATGGACACCCCTTTCTGCAGCACACAGATGTAGAGCTGCAGTGTGAGCTGGGGTGCAGAGCCCAGGAAGGCCTGTATGACAGAGGTCCTGGCGAAAGCGGCCCGGTGGGTGACTAACTTCCCCTCTGCCTGCCCCACTTCCTGCTCCACCTCCTCAGTCTGCCCTTCCCGGGGCATCTGCTTCTTACGGGTGATGGTGACATACGGCTCCTCCACCTTTCCGGCACTACCATAGATACAGAAGGCATCCAGGCACCTAAAAGAATAAAACTGAGTTTTACTGTTTGAATAAATGAGTGGTTAAAATCCAAGGTTTAATAAATAGATCTATCTATCTATATTCTGTTTAGAAATGTACTAAAACAAATGTATAGTTCTAAACGTGGATTACTTGTGCAATACATTTATTGTAGTTAAAATAAATAACATATATTGCCATAGGTTATATTTTATTAATAATAATAAAAAAAGAGTTCTATATCTTTTTAAATTATAGTTGAAAGCAGCATCTATTGCCTTGGGTTATTTTATCATTAATAAAATTAAATAAAAATTGCTCTGTACTTTTTTTAAAAATTACAGTTGAAAGAAACAACAATGTTGCCTTTGGTCATTTTTATTACTAAATATATGCTGGATTGGCTGCAAATGTCCTATGAATGTTGGATTCTAATTATAACCATCCTCCATGTCCCAATAGACCATGTCACAGTTCAGAGAATTGCACTCAATCCAATGAAAACTCACCAGCATAGTTCTAGCTTACCCTAGGACAGCTTTTATAAGGCCTCAGTGGGCGATCTGTCCATCTCATTCATTTAAAATGCAGAGGCTAGGTCTTACAGGACTGGTAGTAGGTGCCAAAGTTTGAGTGAGTATTTCCTATTCCAAACCTTGACAACAGCCTTGCTATTTTATAAAAATAGGGTGCAGGCAACCTTGATGACAATGTGACGGATGAGAGTGTGTTAAGAGAAGGCCAAGAGAGCCTTCATAGGCCATTCACACTAATTCAGTGAA